ACTTTTCCTCCTTCACGGCTCCCTCCCACTGGTGCAGGTCCCGTCCCTATTCTTTTGTCTCTGTTTATTCTTTTTTCTTTTGCCCTACCCAGGTACGTGGGGAGTTTCTTGCCTTTTGGGAGGTCTGAGGTCTCCTGCCAGCGTTCAGTAGGTGTTCTGTAGGAGTTGCTCCACGTGTAGATGTATTTCTGGTGTATCTGTGCGGAGGAAGGTGATCTCCGCGTCTTACTCTTCCACCATCTTCCCAGCACCCCCAGAAAAGACTTTAGTACCAGTAGAAATAAAGCCAGACACCTTGGACTCAGAGATGATGAAAAATCTTAAAAAACTTCATCAGTGACGAGTGGCTGCCTTCAGGTGCCAAATTCCACTAACCTCGCAATCTCTATATAAGCAAAAAGAGTTACAGATGCTGGCCAAGGCCCCGTTTTTTCCCTGCCAATATTAACATCAGGTGCTTGGACCATCTACTTAAAACTCCTAATTATTAGGATTTGACCACCAATAGCTTTTCCAGACAGTTGACTATAAACTGGAACTTCAACAGTATGGTTTAGAATTACTTTAGAAATATAAATAAGTGCTTTTGTGATGAAACTCTACTCTCAGTTAACACAGAATTGATATTGGCTTTAACTTCTGAGAGACATTTTTATGTTTGTTGCCCATTGTAAATGGACACAATTGTAAATAAAGAATTTTAAACAGAGCCCCTAATAAAGCCTAAGCCTAATCATTTCCACAATTCCAGTTTTATTTAGATTTTATGTGCTTTCATGTAGACACACTTAAAGTATATTTTTTTATATATATGAAATATAGATGATATGGGAGTTTGACAAATGATTTGTTAATGAAAATTTATTAACTATATAACCTTTGAGTACCAGAGAAACTTCACTATGTACAGATCACCATGAAGTTCCCAGTTTCTAAACTTTGGTTATATGAATATGCCCCAAGCACCAAGGAACAAACAATAATCCTAATTCAAAAAGAAAGAAAAAAAAAAAACCCAAGAAACAAAAGGTCCTTCAAGTCTCTTGAATCTGTTTGTTTTTTAAACACCATTTGGGAAACTCTTTTTTATTCTACATTTCCTTCCATTTAGGTCAGTTTCCAAAAACAGTATCAATAAAAATTGATCAGGGAAAAAGGAGAGACAAACCATTACAGATAAAGGTGATGTCACTACATAACTTTCTAGAAATTATTCTGCCTTAAATACAAAACTTTTAACGTAGGGTATCTGCATTATGTAACATGTATGAAAAAAAACCCCAACTCTTAATTTTCAAAAATCAAAAACTCCAACAATGCAATCATAACAGGAGTAGGGGGTGAAAGGCTCACAGGGAGATCTTCAGCAGACCCAGTTAGTTAAATGGATTCTAGGATTTCACCTTCTTCCCTGGCATCTGCTAGCTGCAGAGGCAATTTGTATAATATACAGGCATCAAAAAAGAGACCTTGACAGGCTGAGCACAAACTGTCATGAAATTTCACAAGAAATCTTATGGGCAAAAGAAAGAAAAATCAAAGAATAAAGACTGAAATAGAAAAAAATGGAAACAAAATATGTCTCAATCTATGTTTGTGGAAGGGACCGCATCCTTGCCTACAAATGTGGATTATATACACATTTATATTAAGTCAGTTCATATGTTAGGCCTGACAATTCAGAAAGGATGTTTCTCATGAGAGGTGGAAGGAGGTTCTATTCACTTGGATCCTCAGGCCCCAGTCCTTTGTCCTGGCTGGTTGGTGGTCTCTGCACAAGACTCAACAGCTTGGTATATGAATGGATAAAGCTTGATGTCTGGTCCAGGGGTGGAACAGTTTCTACATTCTTCATTGTAATATCGTAGCAACAGCTTATATACTTCTCCTGAAGAGTAGAAAGCCAGACCAATTTGCACATTAAGGTATGTAGATGGATAAAACTACTACAGAACACTTCAGTTTTATCTTAATCTAAATAATATATGCTCACATTTGGCTTTTGAAAATAGAGCACGAAGGCTTTATTTTTTTAAAAAAAGCCTGGAAGGCTTTCCTGATATAAAGTTAAAATTTTTTAGAATACCTTAAAGAAACTACTTATTAGTTCATAATTATAGCAGGCTATACATGGTACATCATCCATGCATTGTTTTGGGAGTTCGTGGCAACTCTAATTTTACATTTAGCTCCCATGATAGCAAGGCCTTTCAGGTCCAGCTGATATAGTAGATGGAGGATGCTGGCATGTCTGATAAACATGACTCAGAGTGAGGCCACTTAGGTTTTAACTTACCTGCCAATACCTTCCCCCTCTTTGTTTTCTATACACACAAAAGTAAAAAATGGACACTAACTCCAACTTCTCGGCCTTAAATTAATAAGCTGACATATTCAAGATTGAGGATGAAAGTTTGCCAGAAAAAGATTCTGCAAGTGTTGCCCCTCTAAGACCTTGTTGCCCCATCAAAGTCACACTTCCATTTTTTCTTATCCACTATGATCTATCCACATTTAGCAAGTGCTCCTCCTGGATGGTGTACAATCCATCTAGATACCAAGTGTCAAGACTATCCCCTACTTACCAACAGTCAGTTTCCTTTCAGTAAGGAACGTGTGCATGCTGTAAATGTCCCTCATCAATTCTGAGTCCCCAAAGGTGAAATAAACCACATCTCGCTCAGCTACAGCAGCTGCCAGTATCTGTATTAAGGCTGTAGCAAAGAGAAGAAACACAACTATATTATGACACTTCACATCAAGATACCTTCTGTTCTTTCAACCAGGTAAATTATAGCTGGTGTGTCATAGCTTTATCCTGGATTAAAGATTTATAAACCTAATATACACATTATTAGCAATGACAAATACAGGATGAATATAAATCATCTAGTTGTGTGACTTAACAGACATGCTGCTGAGAATATCATCAAGCCACAGAATTCCCACGTAAGTAAGCATCTTTGTGGGAAAACAAAGGAAGGTGCATCTGAGGCAGCACAGTTAAGGCACTGAAGTGGTATTTTTTTTTTTCACTTACACTAACCTGGAACTAAAATTTTTGTGTTTGCTTGCTTGATTTAATTATTTTATCTTATACATAGTCATTGTTTTTTTTTTCTGTCAAAGGAGTCTCTGTGATTTTCCGTGACCAATATACTTGGGAGGTTCTACTGTTCTCATTAACCCTACAGCAAGCAAGCATTCTCAAAAATGGGTTAGAGAAGACACCCTTATCCCTCCTGCACTCCCACCTCCACCCAATCACTACAGCATGGAGTGAATGTTACTGAAAACATTGGACAGTAACTCTGGTGTACTGGAAAAGGAAAATCATTCAGAACCACTGTCCCCACAAATCAGTTACAAATCACTCAGCCTGGAGTGTATTTCCAAAAGTTAAATTCCTTTATAATCTTAATCTCAATAGACAAAATTTATTTTTTTCATTATTTTTAAAAATTTATTTATTTTATGTATTTGCGGCTGCACTGGATCTTCGTCGCTACGCATGGGCTTTTCTCTAGTTGCAGAGAGCGGGGGCTACTCTTTGTTGCTATGTGCAGGCTTCTCACTGTGGTGGCTTCTCTTGTTGCGGAGCACGGGCTCTACGCACGCAGGCTCAGTAGTTGTGGTGCACGGGCTTAGTTGCTCCACGGCATATGGGATCTTCCTGGACCCAGGCTCCAACCCGTGTCCCCTGCATTGGCAGGCAGATTCTTAACCACTGCGCCAGGGAAGCCTGACAAAATTTACTTTAAATAACAAAAATGAACAAAGGTACAATAAATGCCCTTTTGCTAGTAACATATCTTTTCCTTCATAAAAGGGGAGGTGGGAATCAAACTAAAACACTATGGAGGATAAATATAGTTTTGATTTTTTGAGAGCATGTTAATATTCTACATATTCAAAACAAAATTAAAACAATAAGAATGGGAATGGAGGGGCTTCCCTGGTGGTGCAGTGGTTGAGAGTCCGCCTGCCAATGCAGGCGACACGGGTTCGTGCCCTGGTCTGGGAAGATCCCACATGCCGCGGGGTGGCTGGGCCCGTGAGCCATGGCCGCTGGGCCTGCGTGTCCGGAGCCTGTGCTCCACAATGGGAGAGGCCACAACAGTGAGAGGCCTGCGTACCGCAAAAAAAAAAAAAAGAATGGGAATGGGGAGGAACCTATATGAGCCTAATTTTATTTCAAAAGAATAGCACTACAGGGAAAGGAAAAATGAAAGGATGAAAGTAAGAACTAATCCAAGTAACTTATGAACACAATATTTGACTAATATGCCTTCAGTCTTGGGCAAGGAGGAAAGAATTGCAAACAATTCCCGGACTCTTTTTACTAGATTTGCTTACCACAGTAGTACAGGTGAAGCAATTCTGAAACTATTTTAAAATATATTTCAGGATTGAACAAATGAGTTAATTTGTTGATGTTGCTGGGAGCTGTAGTTCTCGGTATGGAAGAGGGAATAAAACACGGAATGGGAAAAGACAAAAAAGAACTCTGGTGATTGATAGATTGAAATGGAAGGCACTGGTGTGTACTCATGACTTCTAAAATATGTACATTTTTGTGTGTGAGTGAGAGACAGAGAGAGAGAGGGAGAGAGAGAGAGAGAGAGAGAGAGAGTGTGTGTGTGTGTGTGTGTGTGTGTGTGCATTTCTTAGTTTTGTCTGCTGAAAGGGCCAAAAAGAAGACATCTTAGTAGCAATGAGCACATCTAGTGCCCAGATCTTGGTCTCTAATACCATTCCACCTAACAGAGCTGTATTCCTCAGGGAATACCTGATTCCATGGTTAGGACAGGACAGGTACAAGATGAACCCAGAATGTTTTATTATACCAGAAAGTGAAGAAGTGCTCAAAAACAGGAAAACTGATGGATGTTTGTCACAAGAATATAGAAGCCAGTTTGAAGGAGCTCCTACTAGCCAAATCTGGACAAGCTAAGCACCAAAATATTATGTACAGTAATAACTTACAAATCACTGAAAAAATATAAATTCCTGAGTTCACAATGATAATATATAATAAATAGAGAGAAAGAAGGGCTTTACTCACAGGAGAAAGCCAAACACTAACTGGTTAAGTTGGGAGGGAGTGCTAGAATGAGATAATCCTCTTTTTGCAACCATCATGGTAAAGACTGGATCAGGCAAAGATCAATAAAGGATGCTAAACCTAAGGGAAATTTTGTCTCAAAGTGTCTTCCTACAGACTACTTAATTAACTACAAGAGGAAAACAACTCTGCAACAGTGGAAAAATCAGATAACACCTTGACTGGGTGATCAAAATTAACATCACTAATGGGGTCAGATGACTACTAAGTGCCTCCAGACACTATCACCTACCTACCCGTACTGCTCTGATCAAGAATGCATAATATAACCCTAATTATGAGGAAACAGCAGATAAACTCAAGGAATGTTGTATTCTTCAAACATGTCAATGTCATAAAAGAAAGACGAAGAAAGGCTGTGGAAATACTCCAGATTCAAAAGGAGGCTCAAACATTAACTGAATGCAATACCTGACCCTGGACCCTGTACTGGAGGGCAAAATGGCTACAGCGGGTTTGATTAGGGCACCTGATAAAACTGCAACACAGATGAGAAGATTAAAATATCAATGTACCTTTATGAATTTATAACTGTAATGTGTTTATATAAGAGAATAGGAAAAACACAAGTATTTAGCAAAGGGGGTATAATGTATGTAACTTAGCTCAAATCGTTCAGAAAAAAATTGTATATAATACACAAGCATATATGTACATAAACATACACAGAGTTGTTTAACTTTTTGTAACTTTTTGTAAATTTGAAATTATTTTCAAATAAAAAGTTTAAAAAATTATGTAGGAAGGAAAAATATTTTTAAGATGAACTAGTCAATTTGATATAGCTGAGTATCCCCAAATTTGGGAAACAATCTAAGACATTAGAATACATGTGAGATTCTAAAATACCAAAGTATTTCCTAATTAACAAACTAATATTTATTGAGTATCCCCAACATGTGAGGTACCTGTGACTAGGCCTCATTAATCTTGGAAAGTTGAAAGTAATTATCTCAAAATAGAGATACGTTTTAATTACAACCACTCAACCAACTTGTACATACATTAAAGCTTCAGTGCACTCAATTTTAAAAGGTTCCTAATTAACCTAAACTACATATAAAAAGGGAAACCAATGAATCGTCATCTTCTACCAAGAGGTATCATTCTTTTTATCTTTTGGTTTGAATGAAATCTGGCTTTAAGTATTTCCTATTTAAGAGACAGAGAGGAGAGAGAGACCCAAAGAAAAGTCCTTTTAGTCCTACTTCGTCCTTACATACTGAAATACTAGATCACTGGTCATTTGCCATTTATGAAATAAAATATTAATAAAAACATTTAAAATGTATCTCCCTATAGAGTTTAAGTTTTAAATGCTTCACAGGCTACTTTGTCCCTGTGCATAGGCTCCTGGAGCTAAGCTTGACAGATCTACCAAAAAAGAGGCTGGATCCTAATAAGAGAACCAGTTCATATTACATTCTTGATTTCATATCCATTTCTGTTTGGGTACACATGGTAACAAAAGCTGGGACTGGAGACTGAAGACCTGAGCTCAGGCCTTGCCCTTCTGCTAGCTATCTAAGCTCTATGACTTTGGCCAAGTCACTTAACTCTCCTGCCTGCACTTTCCCCCATCTGTGCAATGAAGAAGTTGAATCAGATGATCCCTAAAGACTCTTTCAGAGTATAATTCCATAATCTATTATAATTTTTCTCCTTGCACTGGAAATTAGTCTATAAATACACAAAGGAAATTTTCAGAAATTTAAATTAATCTTGACCTTAAATACATCAGTAATCACTAACAAAAGATCATTTTAAACAGAACTGTCTTCAGACCTCACTACATCCCCAAGATCTTTGCAAATCTAGACAATTATGTCTCACAATTTAAGTGAACTCTCCAGTATCACAAGTTAGATGAGAATAAATCACAAATCTAATAGGGTGTATGGACTGACTCCAAGTATGATATAAAACCATCAAATTCTAACTTCAAGCACAACTAGGTGCCAAAATAATCACTTAAATTAACCTGCAGGGAGCTTGGTTTTAATTTTCTTTTTGGCATCAATGTTAAGCTGTGAAAATTCTTCAAATAAATATGAATAATGTCAAAAAAACTATTCACAGTGTCCTCTTGTAACAAATGAACCAAATAAAAAATGAGTAAAACCATGGATACTTTATACCACAGGTATGGTCTGAGGCCATTAGCATGTAACATTAGTAACAACTGCTAACACTGAGCTCTATGTTGTAGCATGCTGAACGTTCTAGCAGCTTTTTTTAAAGGACAAACTCAAGAGTCACAAGGATTAACTCACTTAATCCTTACAAAAACTGAATAAATGTTAGTATTATTTCCATTTTGAAAATCAGGAAATAAAGGCACCAAAAGATTAATTAACCTGTGTAAGGTCACAGAGCCAGAAAGCGGTGGAGCTGAAATTTTCTATTTGTCAAATAGAAATTCATTAAGCTTATTTTATTTGCCAGTCACTATTAGGTAGTGAAGGTAGGGAATAGGGATAGAAAAGAAAATGCACAGGACTGCATCAAGATAGCTTCAAATTATGGTAAACTAGCAATGGCATAATCTTTCACAAGTCAGATAACACAGTATGGAGAGGTACAAAAAAT